CTTTTCTAGCAGAAGCTCATGCGAAGCGAGGAGGTGGCAGGCTCTCATCATCAAAGGGGGGCTTTTCAGGAACAAAGATGACCATCCCCTAGCCCAGATAGTCAATGCATGATGGTGTTTAGCAGCCCCAGGCAGTCATAGCAGCAATAGTCAATGATTTCACAGCGACTGTTTGGAAACAAATGGGTTAGGAAAACCCCGGCTCCAGGCAGCGATAGGAAAACGAACAAAGGTAGTCAGCATTCTGCAGTAACAGCTCGCCCCGCAAGGGCAACTCCCCACAATATCTATACTTTGCACAAGTAACAATAATCAAAGTTTGGATGGCCGCAAGTCTCCAAAGCAGTAACGACCAGCCTCTCCTTCTCTTCTGTTGTCGCTCGCAGTCTCAGGTCTCATCGGTATCAAAACCACTCCCCACTTTCCTTTATTGTTAAAATCTGAATTTAGCAACCCCAGCAACTTTCTCTCTCCTCACTCTCTCTCTCTTGCCTCCGTTCGGGATATCCCCCCTGTGAAAGAAAGCAGTAAAATTCCACTTTCTCATTCTCTCTCACTCTCTCCTTCCCTCTCCGTCACAGAAAGGGATCAGCTAAAACCTCAAATCCCTCTTTGACTTCACCTGGTCTCCCTCTGACAACAACAACAGCAACCTCCCCCATCCCCTTCCTTTCCTCCTCTTTCTTTCCTTCTGCCTGATCCACGCCCGCTGCGCCCAAAACCGTCAGCAGCTGTCCGAGCTTCCCTCTCCCCAGGCAGGGTCCTGCAAAGCCTTTCAGCCAGCCCCGCTACAATGTCAACATCTATATTCACTTGAAATTATGACTATTTTTCCTCATTTGGGAGGATCATTTTCAATTTGCTAAATATGTGGGTTTCCCCCCATCTGATCTACCATTTTTATAGACTATTGTTCTCCTTATCTTAAATAAATATAATAATACCTGTGTGATGCCAACATACTTTTTTGTTTCTCAGTATAATGGGATGTGTATGCAAGGACCTACTGGTTTTCCTGGAAGGGATGGAAACCCTGGAATCAACGGAATCCCTGGAACTCCAGGTATCCCTGGCAGAGATGGGCTTAAAGGAGAAAAAGGAGAATGTATGCAAGAAAGCTTTGAGGAATCTTGGACACCTAACTATAAGCAATGTTCGTGGAGTGCCTTGAACTATGGCATAGACCTTGGAAAAATTGCAGTAAGTAAGCACAACTATAGCACAATATGTAGGCAACCAAGATATGGTGAGGAATCTGTTCCATATTGCTTTTGCTTGACCAATCATCTGTTCACTTCTAGGGGCTATGTAGTATCCCATTTTGGCAAAGGTAGATAGCCTGCAGCCATGTGTGTTCCAGATCATCTTTGGAGTTGGCAGAAACACTATGTTTGTCCTGTTTTTTAGGTTTTAGCAATGGAGAAAGTCAAAATGGATGTTTGATGTTTCAACTGTAAAACTGAAGCTTGTCCCTTTTTATAAATGGATCTTTGATTATAGAGTTACAGCCATCATTTTGACCCCCTGTGGATGCCTTGGTGTGCCTTAAGCATTGCAAAAACTCCAGGCTCTCACTTCACTCTTTGAAACCCTCAAATTGTAGAATTTTTACTATTTGGGGAATGCTTTAAGAGGGATACGATGGTATTTGCAGGGCTTCAGTTTTTTCCCATTTAAACCATTTTACTATGCCCTGGCTGGCACCCAATGTTTGGCCTAGTCCTGCTTGACATCTTGACATCATTGAGGTCTGAGTAAGCCTAAGGTAGATCCTCAAATTGAATTTAGTATTGGTGTAAAACCAGTAATTCAGGGATTTAAATACAGTATTTTATAGCTTTAGGATTTAGATAGGAAACACTTCAACATGATTACAATCAAGTTGTCTGCCTAACCCTATATGGAAATGTGGGGGAAGTAACCATTTTAATGAGTTAATAGCAGATGGGCTTTTAATACTTTTATTCAAAATAGTCAGTTTTTGCCGCTTCAGAATTACTGATTAATGCATGAAAGCCATTCAATAGAAAGACATTTAAAATAAAACAGTATCTGTGATTACAGACCCTTAACCTTGAACCAGAGCTTAGTAACTGAATGTGTATTTTGCATTAAAAACTTTAAGGCATTTCCAGAGAGGGTTTGAAAAAGATTCCTGATTGAAACTAAAAACTAAAAAGATTTTCTACTAGACATTTTGATCTAAATGGACCTGTTGACTGGAAGTGCACATTAGGGCACAATGTGGCTTGTTTGGTTTTGGCCTAGTCTGTGATCCCATCACTGAAGTTTGTAAACTTGGCTTAGGTGTGAACTTAGCCAACAAATTCATCAAATTTGTTCATCAAATGATTACCCATACTGTGACAATCCTTGATCCACATATCACAAAGAAGCTTCCTCAGTCAGAAAACCTATTGTATGAAATGATGCTTTGCCTGTTTAACTTTGGATAAATTGTTTTAGTTTTTTTAAAAAAAAGAATATCGTTAAGTACAAATACTGCTCAATTGGAAGAATTTGTTCGTCATTATGATCTGGCATTTCCCCCCCTATCACTTTATATCTGAGTTTTATGAAACTGAATAGCTCGAGCATATCTTGGAGTTATCCCTATTGCAGAACAGCAATTGGTTAGGATAGTTGTGTTTTCTACAAAATTTCATTTATTCTTTTCTCACAGGAATGTACATTCACCAAGATGCGCACCAACAGTGCTTTAAGAGTTCTTTTCAGTGGATCACTTCGACTTAAATGTAGAAATGCCTGTTGTCAACGCTGGTATTTTACTTTTAATGGGGCTGAGTGCTCTGGACCACTTCCTATTGAAGCTATAGTTTATTTAGATCAAGGAAGCCCAGAATTAAATTCTACTATTAATATACATCGCACATCTTCAGGTATGTACTGGGGTCATATCATATCCTTAGCAAATAAAATTCTTGTGACAAATCAGTGGATTGGTATAGCTCAATATTCTTTTCAGATGCTAAATAGTTGGGGGAGTTTAAATTTAGAGTTCTTCCCAGGATTAAAGTATTTAACTCAAGTGCTATGAAGCAGATAAAATGCTAACCATGTCTGAGTTTTGAATTGTCACAAAACACTGGACCACAAACTAGCCAAACATATTTTGACCTGGGGTTTCACAGAAACTGAATCCAACTTGTTAAGTTATGGTACACGGTATACCATGTAAATCCAGAAAATTGAGAGTACATGATTAATTTTAGATAAAAGTCATGCAAAGAGAATAATAATCTATCTTCTGCAGTGATATTTCAATAGCAAGAAACCCCAACTAAGAAAAACAACATCCAAGAGAGCAACATCCAAGAGAAATGATAAACAATTAAATAAAAATCCATTTATTTATTTTTTATTAAAAAGGCAATGAGTTTTATATATTAATGATTGTTCACTTTCCTAAAAAAAAACAACCTCAGTAAACAAGTGCAATTTCTCTCCCAATCATATTAAATCTTATATATACTTTAGGATAACATGCAAAATATATTTTAAAAGGATAACGTGTATGGAACCTGAGATGGAAGGATGAGGGATATTGAAGAGGAATTTTTTTTCCTTGTTGGGCAAGAAAGTTTCTCCTATGGTCCAAAGGAACATTGGAAAGCAACAGAAAAGCTGTGACATCAGGTCCCACCACTCCCCTTTGGAGGGCAAGGGAGGTGGGTTAGACATTGCTTCTTCCCTTCGTATCTTTGCCAGCCAAATACTGTAATTGTTGATTGCCTCTACATGTGCTGAATACCATTTTCCGTTGTTAAGTGTTTTAAGTTTGCAATGGATAATGGGTAAAATCAATGTATTTTACATTTTAAACAGTGGAAGGATTATGTGAAGGAATCAATGCTGGATTGGTGGATGTTGCCGTTTGGGTTGGGACTTGCTCAGATTACCCAAGAGGAGATGCATCAACGGGGTGGAACTCGGTGTCTCGCATAATTATAGAGGAACTGCCAAAATAGAGCTTTCAGTCTCTTCTTGCTATCCCCAAAACAACATTCAGGACTGTATGCAATCTCTTATTGGTTTGTTTTTGTACGTTGAAAAAAAAATTGGATTATAGTGCACAAACCTATTTATAGAAATAAGGTAAAAATCTCTCTTGAGCCACATTTGATTTCAAATGATTTAACAGACATGTCTGTGTAGTTTTTGCCAGTTACACAGAAGTAATTTCCTTCCAGGATGTTTTTGGATTTCTTGGGAATTCATGGTCTGCGTTTAACCAAGCCTGGACCTGCTTAATTCCTGAATCCACAGGAGTCAGCCTGGTGCTGGCCTCTGCAGAGGTCTTACAGTAGACAATTGATGTTCCATTTTTTATTCTATGTATCCTTAGCATTTTTCTACAGAATTTTGGAAAATAGATCCTAAGGGAACAATCTATATTAATGATTACTTTTCTATCAATTCTATATATCCTTGCATTTGTTCAAAAAGAAAATCTACATAACCAATGTTAATTTTATATTAAAAATAATAATAAAAAGCAACTTTTTATTCAAGTGTTTCTTCTCCATTCCCTGAAAGTATGGTTTGTTTTATAAGCTTTAAATTCCTATTGAAAAGAAAAAAAAATATTTTCTTGTGATGTATGAAACAATAAATTACCTGAAAAAAATAATTTGGCGTAAATTATTGCAATTGTAATACAGTAATTTAGCAAACCCGTATTTTTATTATCTAGTGTATAGCTGTCACCTTGATGTATTACATATGCATAGAAGCTATGCCAGGCATGATGGACGATATATGCATTTTTTTTTATTTAAATAAAAATGTAAGAGCAAGTCAATGTATGAAGGTGAGTCATTATATAAAAGCTTAAAGATAAAAGTTAGTGAAATGTATAAATGAACATGATTTTTAAATCTATGTACACCATATTCACGTACAATTCAACCTACTGCAAATATGAACAAAAGGTTAATATATAAAGTAATTTTTCTTGGGAATTTTTGATTTCAAATACGTTAGCCTTAGCTGTTTGCTGGCAGAGCTTAGAGACATTAGTACCCTATTTGTATGCTTGGGTATCAGTAAGACATACTTCCAAAATTAGATGAATCCACATGTAAAATTTTTATGTTTATAATTCTTTTGCAATTTTGTTGAGTTTTATTGTTTTAAAAAACGTTTAACTTAAACAAATTTTAAAAGTTAAGTCAGCATATCCTTTAACTTAGAAAAGGTATAGTATTTCTGTAATATATAACTTATGTTTTTTTATCATTTTATTAGATCGCAAACAAAAAAAACCTTAACCATTTATGTCTTAGTAGTTTAAATGTGAAATTCAGATTTTGTTTTTTTTGAAAATCTTACTATAACCTGCTCAGGTTTTCCACAATTTCAAGAGAATACTGATCATACCAAAGAGGAGGGAAAATAGTGTAATTGCCAATTTTGTACTTATCTTCCATATGCATTTAAAAAGTTTGTAATGGTTTTAAACATTTACACTATTTACAATAAGTGAGACTTTCTAATCCAAGCCATACTACTAAATACTATGACAACAATCCAGTGCTGACTAAAACATGCCTAATCTCCCTAGCTTGCTATTTGAGTAGTGAAAATGTTTGTTCTGGTTATTCTTTTGTTAAAGCAAGTAGAAAAGATTTTATATGTGAACACTTTGGTTTTTTTCAAATATTAAAAAAATCTGTTTCCATACTTTTATTATTATGGTGCTACTTTAAGTAACATAGACCCACAGATAGATTGCAAATATTTTGTCAAATATACGAGAAATTCTATAATCCTAGGCAAACTTAAAAACTCTTTGTGAGTAAACACAAATACAATGCCAATGTGGTTAGAACATGCAGCAATTGCTAATATTCCTTGCCCTGCC